ATAAAATCTTTAAAAATAAATAAATAAAAAGCACAGGTGACCTGTGTAACTTAAAACACACCAAAAAGATCAGAAACACTGAAAAATATATATAGAAGAAATAACCCAGATAGAATATGCCAAAATTGTAACGGCCATTGCCTAATTTTTTTTTTCTTGCTTCTTTTAACTTCTATACAGGTATTCGTTTTCACTAATTTTTAACACAAGTACATTCTCCTTATAAACACTACAGAGGAGGCTTTTCCTACTGTCACCTCCCAGTACTAGTCCCCTCCCCAGAGGTAACCAATGTGATCAATTTGGTGTATATGCTTTATTGCATATGTACAGATGAGTATACAATGTGTATATTCATATACATGTACACATATATACACATTATAGTTGTTTTTTTTTTAAAGTAGGCTCCAAGCCCAGTATAGAGCCCAACATGGGCTTGAACTCACAACCCTGAGATCAAGACCTGAGCTGAGATCAAGAGTCAGACACTTAACCCACTGGGCCACCCAGGCACACCTATAGGTATTTTGTGCTTTTAAACAATGATATCACAGTTTGAGTCTCTGCAATTCCATCCATCACGATGTCTCAAAGATGGTCCCATGTCCACAAATAAGATATATGTCCCTCAATGTTTCAGATTACTTAGCTGAGAACATAGATAACCCATCGTCTGTTTGGCTACTCTGCTACTGACTTCAATTAGGACGTTTACAGTGTTTTTTTTCTATTGCAAATAACACCGTGGTGGATTCCCTTATAAAATGCCTCCTTCTGTGGGTAAGAGGTTTCCTTGGGTCAGATTCTAAGAAGTGGAACTTCTGGGTCAATGGAATCTGCACATTTGTTATTTTAGTAGATAGCACGCCAAATTGCTTGCCTAAGTGACTGTACACGAATTTATATTCCCACTGGCAGTGTGGGCACACATCACTGCCAATACTTATTACCAAACCCTTTTTACTCTTTGCCAACTTGACAAATGAAAATGTATCCTGTTGTTTTGAATTTCCTTGAACAACAGGATGTGCATCCTTTCACATTTATAAGTCATATAGCTTTCCTTTCTTATAAACTACTTCTCTATAAAATGTGTCTTTTTCTGCTGCATGTTTGTCCTTTTCTCATAGACTTATTATATGAGTCATTCACAAATTCTGGAAACTAATCCTTTGTCTCCTTTATGAGTGCAAGTAGTTTCCCCCCATCTTTGTCCTTCAACCTTTGATTTTTTGGGTGGGGGGCAACTATTCATACAGATACATCAAATTTAGTCAATTCAAGTATTTGCATTTTGTGTTTTAGGGAGGACTTCTTTATCCCATGGTCATAAATATAATCCGCATTTTTTTTCTCTAATAAGCTCATCATCTAATTTTTCATGTTATTTAATCCATCTGAAATTTTAGTGAATGGTAGGAAGTAGGACCCGTAATCATTTTTTTAATGCCTAGCCAGGTGCTAAATATCTTTCTTTTCTCACAAATATCTTTATTATATAATGTTTCCGTATACATTAGTCAGCTTACTTTGCTATTCTATCCTTTTGGGGGTTTTTTGTTGTTGTTTTTTGTTTTCGTTTTTGGTCTATTTCTGTATCACCCCCCACTGTTTTAATTACTACACATTTAAAATCTAGTGTGACAATGTGGTATGCGATCCCCCTTCCTTCTTGCTTCTCCAAGTGATCTTGGTTCCTTTTGTACACTTACTTTTTCAAACGAATCTTTCAATCAGTTTGTCAAATTTCCGTATAAACCCTTTGGGATTTTGATGGAGGTCACACTAAATTACAGATGTGGTATAAATCTAGGTTTTTACTATACCAAAGCTTCCATCTATAAGCACGGGAGGTCTCTTTATTTAGGTCTTTATATCCTCTAGTAACGTTTCTATAGGTTTTGTGCACATGTAGGTTGGCTACCAAACCCTCTGGAAGTCTCTCAGTACTCCTCATGTGTCAGTTGATCCTCCTGCAATCCTATTGTCTACAAATGAATGGCTTACATCCTCCTTTCCAGGATCTGTGCTTCTTACGACTTTTCTTATTGTATTGGCTACAATAAGACCTGCGGAACAATTCTAAATAGTCCTGGCAACCGTGGTCATATTGGTCCCGTATCTTCCCTAATAGGTCTGCTTAAAACACGTCTCCATTAGGCAGTTTTTGTGGGTATCTTTCATCAAGTGAAGGGTATCCTCTTCAAGTCTTAGTTTTTATTTGTGTCATGGGTCGCAGATCATTAAATGCTTTTTTGGCATCTATTGAGATAACCATAATTTCTTTCTCCTTTAATCTGTAGGTTTTACGAATTACTTTGATCAGTTTTCTATAGTTTTTTTTTTTTTTGACAGACAGATCACAAGCAGGCACAGAGGCAGGCAGAGACAGGAGGAAGAGGCAGGCTCCCTGCTGAGCAGAGAGCCCGATGCGGGACTCGATCCCAGGACCCTGAGATCATGACCTGAGCTGAAGGCAGAGGCTTTAACCACTGAGCCACCCAGGCGCCCCAGTTTTCTATAGTTTTGAACCAATTTTCCATTCCTTGTAATAGCCCTTTTTAGTCATAATATAAGTCTGTTTTTTATTTTCCTGCCTGTGCTTAAAACCATATGTAACTGTCTAATAGGGAAAAGAGACAACAGAACAAAGGGTTATATATGCATATTTTTGTGTTTTTGTTAAAAAAGAAAATATACAGGTTAAGATAGACTTAATTTTTCTTAGAAAAGAAAAACGTGTGTGTAAACTGAATGTGTGCAAAATGAGCAAACGGTGTGTGCTTTAACCTGTTCTACTCACTAAATTCCCTATTTGGATTAATGTCATCACCATCAGGCACCCACCCGAACAAGCATCACCAAAGTCCCCCCCCCCACTATACCCTCTGCACACAGCATTCACCAGGTTCCAGGCACCCACCAGCCCCTCCACCCCATGCCTCTAGTTAGAGACCACAGGGCAGAAGGGGCAAGGTGAGGACTTTGAGACACACCCAGCTCCAATCCCACTACAATGCCTGCCCTGCTTTGGTGAACCACTTTACCTCTCTGGGCCCCAATTTTTTTTTAAATCTATAAATAGATAGGATATTATCAAGACTAAAGAGCTGTGGTCAACATTAAATGAGATAATATATGTAGAGTACCCAACACGATGCTCGCTACATAATGCTCAAATGTTGACATGATCTCACAAAAGTCTCCTCCCCTGTCCTTCGCCTGTGCCGGGCCCTAGGTCAGGCCCTCCAGTCTTCATCTGGCCCATGACAACTCTTTCTGACACTGGGACATGGCTGTCAAAGCTCCCTTTCTAAAACACAAATCAACATGATTTTATCTGTTTCAATCTTTCCACTGGCTCCCCACTACCTAGATACTAGATAAATGTCCAACTCCTTAGCATGAGGGACAAGGCCCACCTCAACCTCCTCTCTGGCCTTCTCTTCCTCCTCTCTGGTCTAATGGCTTTCCACGCCAGTACACTGAAAACTGTACTTTACAGAAAATTACAAGTTCTCTCACAGCGCTTTGCCTTTGCATATGCTGGTCCCTTTTCCTAAAAGCCTTTCCCTTATTTTCTACTAAGCAAACATTCCTATTGAACCTTTTAAGAAAAAGCTCAACTGATACCTCTTTTAAAATAAAAATTAACCCCACACAGAACTACCTACCCCATCATCAGTGCTCCCACAGCAGTTCTCACTGCCATTATAGCACTTGCTTAAATACCTTTCCCCACTCAGTGAGGCAAAAACTGTGTCTTATTTAATTCTTTAACTCCCCAGAAGACTCAGTCATTGGTCCTTTTTTAATGAATGAAATGATGAATAAAATAAATTTTCTGTTTTAAATAAGGCTCTACTACATCTTTTAACAAAGCAAAAAAAAAAAAGCATATTCTGATTATGTTAACCAGACTTTCAAGCTGATTTTTTTTCTTAAGCTAGCCTCTACCACAATGAAACCAATTTGCCCTACTAGCAATTTTAAGGGTTCTTAGAATAATTCTAGAGCCAACTAACCTTGTAGGAGTTCTGATTAGATATACACGCTGGCTGAGAGGCCCCTTTGAAATCACTAGTCTTCAGGTACTGGTCTTGGCCTTTATCAGGAATCAAGAGTATTGTATTATTTTGAAAGAATGTATCTTCCATGACTTAGACTTGTTCTCAATAAACAATTTTCTTCCAGAAGTGCAAACATCCTGCTACCTTCTCTCTCCAAAGAAATGAGTTTGGTTCTATTATAGTATGTTCCTGAAGTAAGGAAACAGAGCTCAGGGGAAAGAAAAAAAAAAATTCAGCCACGTTATTTGTGTGGGCTGAAATATGAAAAGAAGAAAAGAAGAAAATCTCTTACATCAGAAAACCTCCCCCAAATATAAAAAAATTCAATGCATGCATGGCGGCGTATCACCGCGAGCAAAAAGATGACACTTGTGGTCATCAGAGACTCAGAATCTCTGCTAACCACAGATAGTAAGAGTGCACAGTGGCTTTAAGAGAAATTGTGAAAAAAATACAAAATGAACAGAATGACCTTAGTCTTATAATCTTTTTAAAGAACCCGACATGTAAGCCACCCAAGAAACCCCTAATTTCAGAAAAGTAAGTTATGACTAAAGAACCAATCATCATTCCATGATGACTTTTTAAGATTTTATGAGAGAGAGAGAGAGCGTGTGCGCCCATGAACAGGGGCTGGAGGTGGGGCAGAGGGAGAGAGGGAAGCAGACTCCCCGCTGAGCAGGGAGCCCAACTTGGGGTTCCACCCCAGGACCCTGGGAACATGACGAGTCGAAGGTAGACACTTAACCAACTGAGCCACCCAGGCACCCCTCCATGATAATTTTTGAATAACTATTTCTTTCATTTAAAAAAAAATGTTTTTCTCATAAATATTATATTATTTTACAACAAGAAAGAAAGAAAAAGGGCAGACCTGCAGAAAGAGAAAACACCACAGATTCGAGCTCACATAGCAGAGCCTGAGATTAATTTTTAAGTTTATTTGTCAATTTCCAAAACTCACTAGTGGAATAAAGAGCTTAATACAGGTATGCAAAATGAGAGCCCCCAAGAGGTTTTCACCAGGATGAAATGGGATTTGCTTTGTAGTTCTTATAATCTTCTTCACAGAAGAATGCAATTTCAGTTTCATGAGCTGGAAAAAAAAAAGAAGACAATGGAAAAAAATTTTAATGTAAAACTAGATTTTAAGCAAGCATTAAAATCCATATTACTCTGATTCAGTGTTTCAGATGCCTAAAGTGAGAAAGATGAACTACTTGTTTGGTTTCACATTTCACCAAATCAACAAGAAGTATCAGCTGTCGTTGTAAGAATTTAAAATTCGAATAATTTAAAAGTAAAAAGAAAAATACAAAAAGAAATTAAAAACAAGAATGAGTACAAGACTGGTTTCCAGGAAACCATAAAATTACTCATGTCAGAGTCCTCTTAACAATCCTAGAAAATAAACATTTATTTTTTTCCAAATGTGCTGCTCAGTTCTGAAGGAGGAGGGAAAAATGCTTTTTTTTTTCTCTTTGAAATTAGCCTGTAGGTATAATAATTTAATACTTAGAGGATCAGTAGAATACTTTACAGATCACTTTACATTCTCCCTCATGACCCATCAAAATATGTGTCTGAAGAAGTTAATTTTTTGCCTGCTTATGACTAATTCATGAGGCTTCAACAATATGCAAAGTGAAAGACACAAATTGGCTTCTCCCGCAATACCTTCAAACACCTCTAATTATTCACAGGGGATACGGCACAGCTAAAGGACCCGCAAAGGAGCAGAGCAGTCACAATTCTTTCAACCTAGCAGGTCAAGGACTCGGTCTTCTAAAACAATAAGTCAGCAACATTATTAATTCAGACTGGAGACAAATCTGATGGAGAGCCTTCCAATTATTAAACATGCAGTTCTTTAAGGTGTGTGCCAACAAGTTCCACGTTTTTTTTTTTTAAATTAAACCAGAAGTTAATACAGTCTGCTTAGCTTTTACAGAAAGAGCAAAAGGGCCTGCAGACTCTCGACAGGAAAACAGACGAGATTATTTGTAATGAATACCGATCACTCAATTAACATATCCTCTAAAAACAGACAAGTAAAAACTCTTCACGCCAAATAAATAGGATAATAGGGAAAGATGCCAAGGATTACCCCTGGTCTCTTAGTTTACCGAACTCATCTCATCACTAGAATTTGTCACAAAAGAATGAAATTAAGGAGCTTAGCATGACATGTCAGCTAAAAAAAAAAAAAAAAGTTTTTGCTGGTTTTAAGAATATCAAATTTAGGGGCGCCTGGGTGGCTCAGTTGGTTGTGTGTCTGCCTTTGGCTGGGGTTGTGATCCCAGGGTCATGGGATCGAGTCCTGTGTAGTGCTCCCTGCTCGGCTGGGAGCCTGCTTCTCCCTCTCCTACTCCCCCTGCTTGTGCTATCTCTCTGTCTCTCTCTGTCAAATAAATAAGTAAAATATCAAACTTATTGTTTCTCAATTATGAGTTACCGTGCTCATTACAGAAAATACAGAAATGCTCAAATTATAAAATAAAGTCGCCCATAGTCTCAGATCCTGATTCCAGGACCACTGCATCTTCAAGATTAAATGAAGAGTAATCTTGATGAAAATCAGATTGCAAACTCTCAGCACAATGAACCTGGGGGTGGGTGGGTGGCAGACAGGGCTGTGACAAGCTGAGACTCGGTGGGGAGGGGCTGGAAACAAATGAACCCTGGGCAAACAGGAAGTTCATGTACAGCTGAATTTTACACAAAAAAAGCATTTTAAAGAATGGCTAAGAGGCTCCACACTTGGAATGAGTAAAATGTTGAAAGGGGGGCTTGAGGAAACTCAATATTCAGAGAGAAGATATCTTAAGATCTATTCCTTTATATATAAAAAGCTCCTGGGTTCCCTTTTTTGAAGGGAAGCAAGCCCAAAGGTAGACCTCTATCATATGCAAGTGATTCTAATCATCCTCCAAATGGAGAATGAGCTAAAAGCACCCTGTTCTTCAGAATCACAATGCAGGGTTTTATCCACGATGTGCTATTTACATACAGAACTTTGCACAGTGCTTTGCCCACGCAGCACTTTGCTCAATACACACTAACTGTAATTACAATTTTCACTTACCGCTGTTGACATTTATCTGTACCCCTTTTGAGAAACCAACACATGGTATAGTTCCTCCGTATGGTAATAACAGGTTCAGAATAAACTGAAGGAAAGAAACGACTAACAAAGCATTTTTGCTTTGCCACTCAGGTTTTCTTGGGTCTAATTAACTTATAGATCAATTCGTTACTTCTCAAGTATTTTTATACGCCATCTCTCATACACGCTCAAAATGAGATCCCCTAAGAGAAAGATTTTCAGATGAATACTTTTTTCAAAAACAACAAGACAAGACTGACAAATGGGTTCCAGTCCCAATACTTTGTGAGGGCTGATAAAATTGACACCCTTCAAAAACTGGAAAATAGCACACAAGTTCAACATGGGTTACAATAAACATTCAAAAGTCAGACACAAAATGTATTTGAAACTCGAGTAATGTGATCCTCGAAGAAACCAAACAGAATGCTTTTTAAAATCTGCAAAATTCTGTTGAAAATGTTGGAAAATGATTTCCTGTATTTATGCCACGCATTTACTTGTCGATTGGAGTGAAAACAAATTACAGAAGATTTTCCAGAACCTCAGCATCCTCAACCTTTCGACCATTATCTCCTAAATTCTTGCTGCCCCAATTCTATTTAAAATGGCTCCAGAAGAACCCCGAGGACGTCTACTTCGTGCCAGTCCCCTAGGGCACCTGATTTTAAATTAAATGTGCTGCAGGCGCAGTGCACTCAGGTGCAGAGTGCCTCGGTGTGTGAATCCGAAATGAATGTAAAATCTAAAATCCAATAAATACACTGCCGGTTCATCCCTTTGTCTTACTAGCAAGTTAACTCAAGTGAGAACCCTCCAAATACGGCGCACCATTTTAATACTGACTTTCAAGTTTAATGCAATGAACACAAGCCAGGACCTTCAAACTCTGAAAATGAAATTAATAATTTTTTTTTGAGATCTTATTTATTAGAGAGAGAGAGAGCATGAATCGGGGCCAGAGGCAGAGGGAGAGGGAGAAGCAGACTCCCCACTGAGCAAGGAGCCCCCATGTGGGGCTCGATCCCAGGACCCTGAGATCGTGACCCGAGCCAAAGGCAGATGCTTAACTAATTGAGCCACCCAGGCGCCGCTGAAATTAATAATTTTATAATGTGTCCAAACAGGTCAGCCACATATATACATACACCCCTTTAACAGGAAAATAATGACTTTAAATAAAAGAATGTAAGAAAAACCAATTTTAAATGTAAAAGCTCAAGAAAAATTCAAGGCAATATACTTAAGCTCCCTAATTTATTCCAAAAAACTCCGTGAGGATTTTTGCACAGTTTTGAAGTCCCTAGCCTATTCTAGGTGGCACCATAGTAGTATACGGCACAGCAACTGTTGTCTGAGAAGAGAGACAGAGACATGTGCACTGACTCTATGGTACAGATAATTAATGATCAGGCAAGCTGTAATGTGATAATAAGTACAGATTACTGGGGGGGAAAAAAATACAGGAACACTGAGGACTGGTTTCTGCAGCAACGTGAGACCAAAAGGACAAAGTTTCACCTTCTCACCTGGTCCAAGAGTATATCCTATCTTTCTAAGGTTCCTAAAATCTGAATTTATAAATCATTAAAACTGTGCTCACAGCTGAGTTATATTTCTAAGTTTGCACCAAAGTTATCTCCAGCCAAGAGTTCCCAAACACAGTGCTTTATTTCATATTTGCTTCAAGCACCTGTTTTTTTAGATCAGCTGGCAGAGAGGACTTCAAGCTACAGTTCGAAGAGAATAAAAAGTAAAATAAATCTGACCTTTGATGGACTGGACACAGGCCTGTGAGTCCCACGGTGGTAAGGGGAGGATAAAAAGGGAAGAACAATCCATACCCCTGTTCTGGAATCCCAAAATCCCTGGGCCCCCCACATACTTTCCTGAGCACCAGACTACCACGGCTTTGATGTTTAAGGTAAACAGCCGCCCCTGTAAGATGCCGTTAAGGGAGGAGAGCATGTACGCCCTGAGATATCACCACTCAAAAGAGAACGGGAAAGGCACCTGGAACATTCAGGAAACACAAATCAAACATGATCCGGATAAAGAAGGGAGAGCCCAAGAATCCTGCAATATTAGCTGTACATCTGAGAGAATCAAAAGGTGCTGGGCACAAAGTCAGAGTTCTGGTTGTGGGCAGACAGCATGAGTTGACATAAAAAGAAAAGCGACCACAGGGGAGCTTTGGACTTATTACAGGATCTGGTTTGACACAAACTCTTCTCTCAGATAAGCACTTAGGGTTTGGTCCACTATATCTTGTTTTAAAATAGTTCCAGTAAAACACAACAGGCCTGAAAAGAGTTACCCTCCACCATTTTTTGCCTAAGGAAAGAGGATTCAAAAGATAAGATAATAGTAGTAGAATGTAGCTGAAGGAAAGACATAAAAACAGCATCCTAAAATTACTGACATGCAAATTTACCACTTAGGGGAATGAGTCCATAAAACTACAATCATTAATGACAAGATAAAAACCTTTGCATTTACAAATAACAATTCTAAGTAAAGCTTTCTTCTTTCTTCAAAAAAAAAAAAAAACCACATCTTTTTCCCTAGGTCTTTTAGCTCAGAGTCCACAAGCGAACGTGTGCCCTGACTTCGGGCGCAGAATATACAATTGGGATCTGCAAGGCAGTTAAAAGGCCGGGACAGGAACTGCAGAATTTCTCTGTGAGAGAAGAGATCTTCCAACAAGTTTGTTCCCCTAATTTCCCTCCCCTCACAGTTTTTCTCTTCCTTTCATGAATTCTGCAGAAAAGTCATAATGATACATTTGTTACATTGGCGTTGTTCCCATGGCAACTGGCTGTGATGGCAGAGTGACAGTTCTAAGCAAGGTCAAGTGAGAAAAAGGGAGCATGAGGACCTGGGATTCTTCTCTTCAACCACTTAAAAACCTAACCAGACAAGGCACCGAGGGAGGGGAAATTCCCCAGAAAAATCACACATTGCAGGTGTCATTTTTACAACTCTACTCCCACTCCTAATTTCTTGTGGCTCTCCAGGGAGCACAGCTTCCTTCCCCATGTGGAAGTGAAGCTTCTCCAGGGCACAGCATGGTGGCTGCAGGTGACACGGAGAGGAAGCCATTCTAGCCGGGTCAAGAGGCACCCCAGACCAGGACTGTGGGCTTGCCAGGGCCCAGGGCGGGGGGTGGGTGTGCAGTGTGAGGTTCTGGGATCACCCTGAAACCAGTGGGGAACTCGGGACAAGAATGTGATGCTCCTCAAAGACCCACGGCCTTATAACAAGAATGACAGAAAGATGGATTTGATTCTTTACTTTTACAGATCGTTCATTACACGAGTCTGAAAGTCACGACAGTTAAGCCAACAACTCACAGTATTTTAATAAATCCAAAACATTTGCCAGCTGCCTTCTCTAAAATGGTTTCCAAATACATATTTCTGAGGGTCTCCTCATGCATCGTTCCAGATGTTTTCATAAGCTTTTTTCACTCAGCTCTTACCACGCTGAAACAGGTTTAACGGTTTCTGTTTTGTTTTACAGAAATCAAAACAGAAGTTCAACAACACTAAATAGCTTATGAACAGTCACAAAATAAGTAAAATACACAGCCCTCACTCAAACCAATTTTCTCCAACTGTAGTAGGAGTATATTCTTTAAAAAAATTGGTTCCTTAATTTAGAGTACATGGGTACTATAGAAAATTTTTAAATTACAAGAACAATTAGATAATACCAAGAAAGAAAAAAGAAATCAATTGCTTGCAGTGCCACCAGCCAGAGAAACACTTCTATAATTTCATTAGATGATCTTTTCTTCATATACACGTATAGACGCATAAATATATACATTTATGAACAATGATGGTATCACATACTATATTCTATTTCCATGCAATAAAGAAAGCTCTACATCAGTGATTCACCAATGGGAAAGGTGAGAGACCTCTGTCACCCCTTTGAAGGCACATCTCAATCTTGGGGGAGTCACGGAGCTTGAGAAAGCATACTCCTGTTGGCCTGGTAATAGATGTGACAGGAAGTTAAGGGTGAGGAAGTCTTACTGGCCAAATTGACTGACAGGAAGTTAGAGGTAGTATACATTCCCGACAGTAAACCCAGAGGGTATCCACTTCCCAACACTCTCTTGGATACTACCACTTTTTTTACGTCGGTTAGTCTTCAAATGACTGCTTGTCCAAGGTCACCCAGCCAGTAAGTGGCAGAATCAGGCTGAAAACCCACGAACTTTGGCTCTGGTCTCTAATTCTTAACCACTAGCCTAGTACACCTTCATAGTGCATTTCTCTCTGGACTCATAAGGCTGAACTATTTTTCATAGATTAGCCATTTCTTTTATCAGTAGACTTTTTTTCACCTTTTTCCAAGCTAATTATAAGAGCTTTTTATAAATTCAGGCTAATAACTTTTCGTCATATATGAAATATTTTTTTCATTGTTTAGTGCTTCTCCTTTAACTCTATTTACAGAATTAAATCTATCATTTCTCCCTGCTTTATGGCTCTGCCTTCAAGGTCACGCTTGAAGAGCTCTTCTCCCCAAGATTATGAAAACTACTAAGCTACATTTTATTTAAAAAAGATTTTTCTTACACTATGACATATAATCAATCAACAATTTATTTTGGAATAAAGGTCGAGATAGGATTTAAATTTTATTTTCCCGAATGCTTTGGCAATGGGCCTAACATCATTTTCTGGCTAATTCATTCTTACCCCACTTATTTGAGAGGTCACAACTTTATCATATTGTGAGATCTTACTTTTTTTAGTTTCTTTCTGATCTTTTCCACGGAGGTTTTAATCCCTCCATCAATAACAAAACCAGTCTGTTATAATAATTACAGCTTTATGTTTTAACAAGCGGGGCTAGCTTCTAGGTGCCCCATGCCTCAGTAACACAGGTACCATTTGCCATAATAACAGAACAGCATGTGAAGAAATAAATGGCAAAATAAAAACTGTGTTTTCAAATAAGAGCAATAGTTACCTTACATATTTATGCTATGAAAAGACACTAAATATAGCCAATAGTGTAGACAAACAAGGAAAGCAAGCCTAAGATTTTGTAACATGTTATTTAGGATCCTATTTAAATTAGAAGACCTGGGGCGCTTGGGTGGCTCACTCGGTTAAGCAGCTGCCTTGGGCTGGGGTCATGATCCCAGGGCCCTGGGACTGAGTCCTCACTCAGCAGGGAGCCTGCTTCTTCCTCTCCCTTTGCCTGCTGCTCCCCCTACTAATGCGTGCATGCTCTCTGTCAAATAAATAAATAAAATCTTTAAAAATAAATAAATAAGACCTCTCAGGAACTCACTTTAGGCACGTGTGTCACTCAAAACTGGATTCCTGACATATGTCACTAAAATAACTCAATAGAACACCTGTCAAAAAAAAAACAAGACAAAACAAAAAAACCAGTCAAGCTTCCCAACATGGACCTCACTTGGGAGTGCCCCTTAACCAGTGTGTCTGGATAATTACAAAGTAAGTGTGATTTGTGCTGTTTCCTTGGAGTCACGGACCACAGAGGTACGACAATGGCATAGCACCTTCAACAGTCCCACCTCTCTGAAAAGCCTCGCTCCCAGCTGCCAGAGACTCTCCAGATGCACATACACAGAATTAGAGTGACATCTAATGGTCACAAAACACGCCACATGGCATTTCTTTAAAATAGAACTACCTGCACATTCTAGGCTGAAAAGCTAACTCGGGCCCCCTTTCAAGCGCACACTAGAGGCTCCTGTTTGAAATCCCACAACGGGGCGGCCCCGAGCGGTCGGGAGGACTATTAGAAACCGCGCTACACCTTCTACAAACAACAGCTCAGTTCATTATTCCCCATTAGTTCTACCAGGTCCATTTCTCTCAAACCATCCATTCAAATGATGCTGATAAGAGTAAATAGGTTATTAAGTGAGTAATAGCCTGTCAATCACTTAAAACAACCCTCCGCAGGATTCTGAGCAGACCTGCAGGAAAGAACTATTTGCATTCTGCACATTCGGAGAGCAGCTATCTCCTGCCCTCAGTCAAATGATCTGAATGTACATCATTCTTGTCCTCCTCCTCTGAATAATTATCAGGGAGTGTAAAGGGCACCCAGGGTAGCATTTACTTTGCTGCAACTTATGCAAACACAATCAGCCAGGCGTCGGGCGTCGGTGGGGCGGCCGGGGACATGAGTGCCCCTCCAGCAGCATGCGGCGCACTTTCTCACCAATTCCCGCAGCTCGCAGCGTGCAGTCTTCTTCCAGCATGAGCGTGTCGTCGTCTTCCAGGCTCAATACAAGCTCGTTGGTCTGGGAAGAAAGAAAACCTGCATCTTATCAGTACTCGTATGTGCTTCGTATTTGGTTAAGACGTTTCAAAGACACAGAATTCTTACCCTGTGTGACAGCAGTAACCAAAGTCACATGCTCTTCCCATCATCATCGGGACAGAAGCAAATGGATGTGAGCGCTGACGATGTGCGCACTCCATAAGTGCTGAGGGGACAGCGCCCTAGCACGGAGCTTTGGGGCCAGGTCTGGATGGAAATTTGGGTGGAGCCTGCTTAAGATTCTTTCTCTCCCTGTCCCTGTCACCCTCCTGACACCCTGCTCCCTCAATCTCTCACTCTAAAAAAAGGGGGGAGGTATGAATCTTCTCTTTTGCCCTGTGGTGAGGATGAAATGAGATGAAGTACAGAAAACCGTAACAGAGTGTCAGTCACAGAGCAAGGCCTCTCCATGTCAGCTGCTGCTGCGCTGTGCCTGTTGCCCTCATCGTCATCGTCATTGTCTCTTCCTCACAATATTCCAGGAGTCAGAGAGGTTAAGGCACAGACCTAGACGGGGCACCGATGGCTGAGTTGGTTAAACGTCTGCCTTCAACTCAGGTCATGATCCCAGGGTCCTGGGATCCAGCCCATGGAGGGCTCCCTGCTCAGCCGGGAGTCTGCTTCTCCCTCTACTACTCCCTCCTCTCTCCACCCCCACTCATGCTCTAAGTGCATGATAAATAAATAAATAAATGACACTTTAAAAAGAAAGGGAGGAAGGGAAGGAGGGAGGGAGGAAGGGGATAGAGAAAGAAAGAAAGAAAGCCAGCCAACCAGCCAGCCCAGAGTACACAGAACTGAGGCCCCTGAGCTCTGACCAGCCTGATTTTGGAGAGAAGCAAGTTTACCTGGATGGCTGAAAGCCCATTTATCTAAAAACCTTGTCCTACCTAGTAAACACTTGATCTCACATCATATTAACTTAATCCCATATCATACTGACTATAACCTTCCTCTATGAGGTTTGGGGTGGGAGTGGATGAGTTGGCCCTCCAGTGAAATTTACAAATCCAGTTAAACACTGTAAGTATAGGAGAAGATTCTGAGTGGATATCTGCCCCTAAAAAGCACACAGAGGTGACCACTAGTTGGACACACAGTACCACCTGTCAACAGAATGCAGCTGCTTAGCAACATCATCTATTTCTAGAATATGGCTAAGAGGGAAAAGAAAGGCCACTCCAGCAGCTAAAATAGAAGGCCCAGAAGGCATGCTCCGCAGTCCACAACTTCACCCACTAAAGCGCGCAGGGGCTTCACCTCTAGAGCACACAGATTAAAGGTGGGGGAGAACGATATTTAAAAAGATCATTTTAAGGGCTCCTGGGCGGCTCAATTGGTTGAGCATCTGCCTTCGGCTCGGGTCATGATTCCAGAGTCCTGAGATTGAGTCCCACACCAGGGTCCCTGCTCAGCAGGGAGCCTGCTTCTCCCTCTCCCTCTGCCTGCTGCTCCTCCTGCTTGTACACTCTCTGTCAAATTAATTAATAAAATCTTTCAAAAAAGTCATTTTGGAATAGGTAGCACATACTCATGATACAAAATTCTCCAAGCACATAGGGAAGAGTGAAAAGTACGTCTCCTCACATTCAGGTTGTTTCCGTTTCTTGCTACCCTAAAAAACCCAGCAACAAACATGCTCATAACCTGTGTCATGCTGCCTATGTATGAGTTTTCTATGTAACTTCTAGAAGTGGAATCATTAGGTCAGAGAGCACGTGCAACTGTATTCTGGCAGATGTCACTAAACTATGCTCCCGAGTAGTCGTGTAACACTTTACAGGAACGCTACTGATCGCTGAGAGTACCTGTTTCCCATAGCGCCGCTGACACCGTGTCTTATCAAAACCGTTTGATCCCTGCCAACCTAACAGATGGAGATTAAGTGTGGTCTTAATCTGCATTTATTTTGAGTCAAGTTGTAAATATTTTGTTTTTTAATGGACTTGAAGGATCATTTTTTAAGTGGAATTATAAAATAGCATCCTATACTAAGAAAATTAGGTCTTTTCTGTAATGTAAGTTAGAAAATTTCCCCCGTTTTCATTCATTCCTCAATTTTCCTTAGTGTTTTTTTTTCCTGGTAAAAGTTGCTGAATGGTTGAATAAATGAGTAAAATTATCAATTTTTTATAGTTTCTGGGTTTTTTACCATACTTAGGAAGACTTTCACTCTAAGATTATTTTAAAATTCTACCTTCTCTTCAAATGTTTTTGTCAATTTCATTTTTTTTTAAAGCTTTTAATTATGGAGAATTTAAAACATACAGAACAGCACAATGAACCCTCCACACGCCCATCATCCGGCTTGAACAAATGATCTACTCGTGTTCAATCAGTTTCATCTCCGTCCTCACCTGTGGGCTTCATTTTCACATTTACATCATTAATCCATGGGTATTTATTTTGTCAAAAAGAAAAGAATGTGGATTCAGCTCACTGTTTTCTGGATGTCTCACAACTGTCCCACTAATACTTACTGAATCCTCATGTTTTCTCCATAGCTTTAAAATGTTATTCTTATTATACACTAAATTCTGATATATATTTGGGTCAATTTTTGGAGTTTTAATTCTGTGCCATGGACCTAAGAGTTCATATAGCAGCACCACACGCTTTTATTTACTAGAGTTTAATGATATGGCTAATATATGTCAGGGCTAGTCACTCCCCTTTCTCTTCCTTTTTCTAACTATTCTTATCTATTTTTTGCGTATTAGTGTTATAATCAGCTGCTTTCATTTATATATATGGGGTGGCATTAAATTCATGAACTAAGAAAAAATGGACATCCTCATGCTGGTGCATCTTTCCATCCAAATATCCTAAGCATTTCCATTTAAGTCTTATGTTGGCTCCCTTTTGGCACATCTACTGTCGTGAAATTGAGGTAGAATTTCACATAAATAAAATGCACAGATCCAAGGGGAGTTCGGTTCAATGAGTCTGGACAACTGAATGACCCTCACTAGCATTTCGAAGTCTCCTCGCTGAGCAGGGAGCCCAAAGCGGGGCTCGATCCCAGGACCCGAGATCATGACCCGAGCCAAAGACAGATGCTTAACCAACTGAGCCACCCAGGTACCCCAAATAGTATTTATTTCTGAATTCACCTAATTTCCTTGTCTTCCCTAGTCTTAGATACCCACCATAAACTCAATCAGCTTTCAAGTAACTGTATACCAGAGATTACAAAGAAAATGCCATGAGGGTACGGCTGTCGCCTGTGAATTAGTAACTTCAAAAAACATATTTTTGCATATATATTTTTACAGTAAACATTTGCTTGACATAGAAAATGCATGCTTTTAAAAAAATGAACACTTTTTTAAAGGATCTACCACTAATAGGGGCTTGGTGGGTTTTTTCCCCTTAATGGCTGTAGAAAGGGTACTCACGAAATAAAAAATGCTAAAAAATAATGGGAAATATTTTAGAAGTACGTGTGTTCATTCATTTATTCACTGAGACAGCCAACAGTGATTATTCGCTATGTGCCAGATACTGTACATATGAAACGTACCTTTGCTTTATGTGCCTGATGAACAATCTTTAATTTATCTGAAAGAAAAAAAAAGTTTTTGTAAAAGATTATTTTAAAACTTCATTTGAATAATCTGAAATGGGAGGTCACAGTAAGAAACTTAAGTCCTTGCCTTATGATCCATTTACTTAAAAATCTAGTGTACAGTAAATTAAAAAATTACTTTTATATATCATCACCTTAAAGGTCACTGCTGTATAAAGATATCTGAAAGCCAAAAAAAAAAAAAAAAAAAAAAAAGATATCTGAAAGCCTTGGTCTTTGACACACAAAACTGATGCCATAACCGGCAATGAACTTGGCACATCTTCCCTTAGAATAGAAGACAGGTGGATATTACTCGATCCTGTTTTTTGGAGTCGCAGAAGTCTATAATTAGCAAATAATGTAAAACATGTCAGACGTTAACATGAGCAGTTCAAAAAGCCTAGTGATCTCTCAGAATACATGCAGTGACAGGAGGTCAAACGACCATCCTGACAAGTTGTCACCACGCTCCAAGCTCAGGCTCACTGGTAATGTGAGCACAGCAGTTAAAGCCCAAAGAGTATCACTATTTGCCTCCTGGTTTTCACATGCTGCACAGACTCACACCACCTAATCTGCTTTATTCCATCCTCCTTCACTCCTTAATCTGTTTATCTTGATGTCAGGCTACGCTGTGCTTTTCCAATAAGTCATTTCTCCACATTGGGTGCAGTCCCACTCTGCAACAGTGAGCTCTTAATTCTAGCAGGGGCTCAGCACTCAACGGGTTTCAAACCAGAAAGCTTCCAATTCTTAACTCCAATTCTTAACTATTAATTAACATATTATGATATGTATTATTATATCTGGATAAACTCCTAACCTTAAATTAACGTTCCTTTCTATCAATCAGGCCGTTCGATTCAATAAAGAATTCCAATAGTAAAATGAAATGAAAGGATCTACTTTAAAAATGGGCCTTGATTTAACTCTGTTCTAATACTACAAAAGAATAGGGTAGCTATTGAGTTAAGAACTGGCACTCTGAATTACCCGTTATTTTAAACACAAGGTCAGCCTAATTCTAGGACTGCAACTATATACTCTTAAGAACTAAAAATAAACCTAATTTAGGTGAAAAAATGCATCCTAGGGATGTAAATATACCACAATTGCTAAAAATAAGTTCAGAATGTACACAAGAAAATAAACAAATTGGCTTTGGATTATCTATTATTCTGAGTTACTTATCTTTTTCTCATAGTAGATAGATATTGGTTTATTACAAAAGGCAAGTTAGAAAAGCCAATAACAGTTTTTTAAGTAAAAGGATCCTGCTTAAAGTCTGTTACAACTAACAAGCAAAACTGTGGTTTGACCTTACCAAATATCAGTCATGTTCTACATATTTTGCTAATGAGCCTTTATTAGAAATATCCTTGCTCTGATGGGTCCTGCAAACCCACAATAAGAAGGCCATATATATATATATATATATAGCAGCAGAAGAAATGATTTGAACAGAAATTTTCAGATTTTTCCCTCCAACAGTAACCAGCAAGACTTGGTAAGAGGGTCAGAAGAAAAACAAGCTAGCAAAAAATATTGTACTAATAATGTCCTTTTCCTTGTTGAATAATCTCTTTCACAGGAGTGTAAACTCATAAAAATAAAAAGAATAGGGGTGCCTGGGTGGCTCAGTCCAGGGTTTTGGGATTGAGTCCCACACCAGGCTCCCTGCTCAGCGGGGAGCCTGCTTCTCCCTCTGCCTGCTGTTCTCCCTGCTTGTGCTCTGTCTCTCTCTTTCTCAAGTGAATAAATGAAATCGTTAAAAATAAATAAACAGGGGCACCTGGGTGGCTCAGTGGGTTAAAGCCTCTGCCTTTGGCTCAGGTCATGATCCCAGGGTCCTGGGATCGAGCCCCGCATCGGGCTCTCTGCTCAGCAGAGAGCTTGCTTCCTCCTCTCTCTCTGCCTGCCTCTCTGCCTACTTGTGATCTCTGTCTGTCAAATAAATAAATAAAATCTTTAATAAATAAATAAATAAATAAACAAACAAATAATAAAATGAATATATTTGTGAGGCATTTGACATGTTCACACAAGCGTGGTTTAGTCTCACCAGCCTTATGAAACAAACAGAATCAGCAGCCCACACTGCACAGCCACCAATATTTACTGCACACACGCACAGTGTCTAGGTGATAAGGATTTAAAAATAAGACCACATCCAATGTGCTTTAGAACACAATCTGGTCGGGATAAATCCATCATAGGTGTAGATGCCAGTTAAACAGGAAGAAGGACCCTGAGAAATCTCAGACTCTCTGTGGCCTGGCCAGCGAGCCAGCCCTTTGCCCAAGGGCACGGAGACCTCAACTAGCAAAGCTGAAATCTGATGCCGCAGCCTTTCCACTCCACAGCACCCAGTGTATCCTGTTCCCACAGAGCAGGTAGCAATACCGGTGGACGAGGACAGGTGAGAAAGTAAAATCTGGCCTTCCTTCTTGAACACAAAGTGGCAGATTTTTCCAGAGCCAAACGTAGACTGAATCACTAAAAGTCTATCAAAACCCCAATGGTTCTCCAATTTCTCATCTCCCAGATAAATGTGTTCATTTCTCTTGCCAATTCACCTGAATAGTATACAAATCCTAGGACAAAACAGTGTTAATTAAGTGGGGAAAATGTAAGAGGTACACGATCTACCACTGTGATGATTAACAGTTAGATATTCTAATGCGTTCAGTACCTAAAACTTATCTTCCAAAATGACTTACAGGGAACACAAGTTAGAATGTGTATGCATACACACGCACGTGCACACGCACACACACACCGTGACGAAAAGGAAATGGCATCTGTAGGTTGATTCAAGTTCAAGGTTTTATTGCAAGTCATTATACTCTGAAAGCCACGCAAGCCAAAATTGAGAAGATTCATATTTACTTAATCATGCTTTTTATTCCTTTCTCTTATTCAATATTTAGTATGTAAATTCTTTAAGCCCAATAAATCAAAGTACTTTCCACTCAATGCCTTCAGCTTCTGCTTGACTACCCCTTATGACCTCACAATTAGTCTCTGGATATTAAAATGCATACACACGGTGAAGATTGTGATTTCAAAGTATTTTAGGTCATAAGTTGCTCTACCAAATGGGAACAGAATTAAAAGCCACTCCAAAAAATGATCTAAGGTAATAAAAAATTTATACTTCAAAAAATGTCTGTACCAATTAACAGAAATATTTATTAGATGCGTCATAATTTTCAAGTGAGGCCTCAAACTCAAAGTTTGGTGAGTGTCACTAAGCTGAAGGTTAATAACTGTACCAACTATTACACCAAGTAATGGAACCCAACTTCCTGCCTCATTACTGCATTGTTTAATCGACCACTGCAACATACAAAATTACTAAATACTATGCTCAAGTTACTGGCATTTAAAATGTTTAATCTCTTCTTTTAATTCCTAGTCTGAAATCATTTTTCCTTCCTGGTTACCGGACAAATTCATTTTAGACATCATTTCCCAAACATGTTATTTGTTCCTCACAAATAGGCCACTTTCGTACACTATTACAATTTACTTTGATGACACACCAAGATTCCTCTGGGTTTTTTTATTTTTATTTTTTCCTCTATTTCTAAGTAAATTTCCATATTGATTTTTATTTACAGATAGTAATCTCATTTTTGAAAACCAAATTCAAACTGCCATCAACACAAAACTAACAAAATAATATTATTATACATTTTTAAAGGATAAGTAAAATTAGTTACCATATTTATAATTTCTGAATGGTGGTGGGAGGCTGGTCCTTAAAGGAATATCTATAAGAGAAATATTATTTTTATTATATTCCAATAGACACTTGTAGCATATACGTAGTCTTTTACTACATTCTCCTAGATCTCCAGACTAAGCTACTTTGAGAAATTTGATAGAACACAAAATGAAGCTAACATGCCATCAAAATCCAAAGGTCAGGGGCACCTGGGTGGCTCAGTGGGTTAAAGCCTCTGCCTTCGGCTCGGGTCATGATCCCAGAGTCCTGGGATCGAGCCCCACATCGGACTCTCTGCTCAGCGGGGAGACTGCTTCCTCCTCTCTCTCTGCCTGCCTCTCTGCCTACTTGTGATTTCTGTCTGTCAAATAAATTAAAAAAAAAAAAAAAAATCCAAAGGTCATCTAAAACAATGGGACCACTAAGGAAATGCTGAGCTGTTATTAGCTGAACTAAGAATTCAGTAACGCTATTAAATGAATTGTCATTTTATTAAATATAATAGCATCTACATACATTTGAAATACACAGCATTCATACGTGAGATATTATTTTCTATATAGCTGATATTCATTTAGCATATGAACCTGAGAACTCGTTCAGGCCACTAGTGGAAATCAATGATCTAGATGAGTGTTATTACTCTTAGCAAAACTCACCCAACCTACAATATAACTAACTTAGCAAAGAAAACAAAACAAAAACAAATTAAATATTGTTTTTGAAACAGAATTTCAAATGTCTGAGAGGGCATGTACATCAGAGGGCAATTTGATATGTATCAAAATTACATATGCATAGACCTAGCAATTCCACTTCAAGACTCGATCTTGTATGTGTGTGCATGCATGCGTGCGTGCGTGTGTGTGTGTGTGTGTGTAATATGACATACAAACAAAGGTGCTAATTGTAGCACTGTTTACAGTAGCAAATGCTCAGAAAAATCCAAATGTCCTCCAGTGGGCAGACTTATTAAATAATATGCCTCAAAAATGAAACCTATTTTTCAACTGGGAAAAAAAAAAGAGGCAGTAGAAGTGCTCTACTAATATCTTCAAGATATGTTAAAGGTAAAGGGAAGCATAAGGCAGGCCATTATTTTTAAAGCCAGCCACCTTTCAAGTAAAACAGGGGAAAAGAAAGAATGTATGTTTGCATTTGCTTATATGTTTGTGAGGTGGGGGAGAGCACGGTGCACTGGTGGGAGAACACAAGAGGGACAGAGAGCCCGGATCCACTGGCCAGACACTTGGACTCTGGCTTAGGCTTGCCAGAGTACAGAAGCTTCATTTTCTCCTTTTTGTGTCTCACTTATGAATTCTGGGCCGAAGAAGTGTTAATTAAACACCAGAAAGGGGAATTAGATCTGTCAATTTATTAGCTCTTATAGTTCCCAAACAAGACAACGCAGCCCTGCAAAGGCGTGAGGTAAGACGCGGAGGGCCTGGAGAAACTGCTCACCATCAGAGGCACTTACATTTGAAGAAATCAAATCACTGTCTTCCGTTCAGTCTGGATTTCTGAGAGAAGAGACAGTGACAGGCAAATGAGGGCGCCTTCTCTTTTCCTCTAGGTGTCCGCTCAAGAGCCATACCACGAAGAGGCCCTCCCTCCCAGCCCTGCTAAGGGCAGGGGGCATGGGGGAAGGGGTTCTCCACTCCAATAGTTTCCTCCATAACATTTCTTACAACTATAGTTCAGTCTGTTCATTGAAGTTGGTCTCCCTGCTCTCCTAATTCATAAATTCCTTGAGATTAAGACTCTAGGCCCTAGCTCCTGAAACTGAAGACGGTGTCCAGCCCATCAGAGGGTAACAGAGAACTGGTTCCGGGAGGGCAGGGACCACAGCCAATTTTCCTCATTGTGTTACCAGTACCCAAAAGAGTGCGGGGCCCATGTCAGGTACTCAAAAATATTCATGAATGAATAAATAAATAGAACTTAAGCCTTCCATTTGGCAGTTAAGAACTCCAAGGTCCTGGGGGGCCCAGGGTGGCTGAGCTAAGGGCTAGAATCCAATCCCCCCATTCTGCAGCAAGGAGAAGGGGTTCTTCCTGCAGTGGCAAAAAGAGACCAGCCATTCAACCCATTATGGTGAGAGGTAAGAGCTTTGGTGTACAAACATATAAAAAGGCCCAAGGAGGAAAAGAAAAAGAACAAACACCTTCCTTATGAAAGAGGGATTCTGATTCTGCACTACAAGTTAAGCTGTGGGTTCCCATGTGGACGTGCCATTTCACCCAGAAGCGGAATGGCTGGGTTATAAGTAGGGGTGGGTTTACCCTTTTAAGAAAATTGCCAAGTCACCTCCTAAAGGGGTTCCTCTTTACATTGCTACTTGCAGCCCATCAGAGTTCTAGTCCTCCCACATCCTAGCCAACACTAGGTTTTAATTAATAAACCCTTTTCACTCCAGCTATTTCAACGAGAGTGCTGTGCTGTCACCGTGACTTAGACTTGCACTTCACTAGACTAACGATGGTGAGTACCATGTATCTTCTTTGCTCTCAAGTGTCTGTTCAGACGCTACTGTCTACTTTTTAATGGGGTTATGTCTTACCTATGGAGTTGGAAGAGTTTTGGTTTTTTCCTTAGGCACAAGTCCTTTGTTGGATGTTTTACAAATATTTTCTCCAAGTCCACAGCTTGTCTTTTCATTTTCCAGCTCAGTGTTGAATAGAAGTGATCATGAGCCTGGTTCCTAATCTTAGGAGGAAAGCACTCAGTCTTCCACCATTAAGTATGATGTTGGAGGTCCATTTTTCATAGATATCCTTAGTCAGGTAGAGTAAGTTCCCTTCTATTCCTACTTTGCTGAGATTTTCTAACAGGAATGGATGCTGGATTTTGTCCTTATCTACTGAAATAGTCATCTGGTTTTCCTTCCTTCATTTATTCATACAATGAATTACATTGATTGCCTTTTTTTGTTTTTCCACTGACTTTTTTATTCAAGATTTTATCTGACAGAGAGAGTAGAAGCAGGCAGAGCAGCAGATGGAGAAGGAGGCTCCCCACTGAGCAGAGAGCCGGACATGGGGCTCGAACCCAGGACCCTGGGATCGTTGACCTGAGCTGAAGACAGACACTTAATCGACTGATCCACCCAGGCACCCCCTGTGATTTCTGATAGGAAACCATTCTTGCATTCCTAAGATAAACTCCATATAGTCATATCATTCTTCTTTAAATATTGTTGGATATGATTTGCTAAAATTTGGTTATGAATTTTTTTAAAGATTTTATTTATTTATTTACTTATTTGATAGAGAGACACAGAGAAAAGGGGAACACAAGCAGGGGGAGCAGAAGAGGGAGACTCCCCACTGAGCAGCAGGCTAGATGCAGGACTCAATCACAGGACACTGGGATCAGGACTCTAGCCGAAGGCAGATGCCTAATGACTGAGCCACCCAGACGCCCCTTGGTTATGAATTTTTATCTCTTTGTGTGAAAGATGTTGGCAGCTGTTTTTTTCTTCTAATTACATTCTCTGATTTTGATATCAGGCTAAGGATGGCCTCAGAAAATCAAGTGATAAATATTTCCATCCTCTTGAGTTTTATGGAAGAGTCTCTGTAGAACTGGGATTATTTCTTCCTCAAATGTATGGTAGAATGTACCAGTGAGTGGACTGGGACTGGAGTTTTGTATGTGGAAATGTATTTTAACTACTGTTTATTTTAAAATATAGAATTATTCAGGTTGTCTGTTTGTTAGTGGGCTTTGGTAGTCTGGGTCTTTTTTGTTTATTTGTTTTAAGATTTTATTTATTTATTTGACAGAGAGAGACACAGAGAGATTGGGAACACAACCAGGGGGACTAGGAGAGGGAAAGCAAGGCTTCCTGCTGAGCAGGGAGCCCGATGCGGGGTTCAATCCCAGGACGCTGGGATCATGACCTGAGCCAAAGGCAGATGCTTAATGACTGAGCCACCCAGGCGCCCTGGTAGTCTGGGTCTTTTCAAGGAACTTGTCCACTGTCCTGGGATAACATATTTATGGCATAAAACTGTTTAATGTATTCCTTTGTTATTCATTTAGTGTCTATAAAGATTCTGTAGTAATGTAACAACTCCCAGTGCTGATACTGATAATTTGTGTCCTCTCTTTTGTTTTTTTCCCAATCAGGCCAGCTAGAGCTTAATCAGTTTCATGGATTTCAAAGAATCGGCTTTGACTGATTTTGATTTTTCTCTGTGTTTTTCAATATTCTACTACAATCTTTATGATTTCTTTTATTCTGCTTACTTTGGATTTAATTTTCTTTTTCTACCTTCTTAACACAGAAGCTGAAATCAGTAATTTGAGACCTCTTCTCTTTTTTAATTTAGACATTTCTAATTCTATAACTATTCCTCTCAGTATTGTTTTACCTGCTTTCTACAAATTTTGAAAAGTTGTATATTCATTTTTATTCAGTTCATAATACTCTGCTTTTTGATTTCTGCTTTTAGATACAGGTTTTTAGAAGTATGCTCTTTGGTTTCCAAATATTTCAGAATTTTCCAGAAATTCTTCTGTCACTGATTTCTAATCTAACTCCACTGTGGTCAGAAAACATGGATTGTAGGACTTTAATCCTTTTCCATTTGTCATGACTTGTATTATGGCTTAGAATATAGTCTCTTGGTAAATGTTCTGTGTGTACTTGAGAGGAATGGGTATTCTGTTGTTTGTGGAGTGTTCTATAAATGTCACTTTGGTCAAGTTAGTCTAATAGTGTTCAAATTTTTTGTATTCTTACCATCTACATGTTCCATCAATTATTAAGGGAGCGATGCTGAAATCTCCCAGTGATTGGAGATTCATCTATTTTTCTTTGCAGTTCTGTTAGTTTTGACCTCATATTTTTGAAGTTCTGTTGTGTCAGGTGCACAAGCATTTAGAATCATGTCATCTTGATTAACTGATGCCTTACCATCATAAAATGATAGTCTTTATCCCTAGTAATACACTTTACTCTGGAATCTACTTTATCTGCTATTACTAGAGCCACTCCAGCTTTCTTTTGATTGGTATTAGCATGGTGTAATTTTTTCATCC